AGTCGACCAAATACACGTTAAATTTGTATGTGCTGAAGGAGCGTTCATACGATGGAACTAATTCAAACTTCGAACGCTAAATTTAGCGCATTTTAGTACCAAAGCTCGTCGCGTAGGTGTGGGAGAAGTATAAGACTGAGCATGTTCTCGAATTAACTAATATAAAAAATGGATGCGTGTAACTTATGTACGCGCGTGAGAAGTTATACTTCTTTAGCATCATTAAAAATATTTTTTAATTGCATGCAAATAATTAATAATTACAATAAAATAATAAAAGGACTGGAAAAGGATAGTTAACACAGTCAATTAAGATCAGTTTTAATTTGAAAAATTAAATAAATATTCAAAATATTCAATTAAAATCACTACTGAATTTAAGTTATTAGTCCATATGTAATTAGCACTTGTAAGTAACTAAAACACGTTGTGTCTATATAGAAACTAGAAACATGTGGATAAATATTATAAATATGAAAACAGTGATCAGAGGCGACGAGCGTGCCAACATTGTTTTTGACAACGCGATTATATACAAAGTTACTCTATGGCGATCATCTTATGGAGCTCCGTGGATCGTTCAAAGTACTTTTCGAACAGATGTCTAATAATGGTGGATTATTAATAATCCACCATTATTAGACACTAACATTCATAACGCGCCCGCGGCCAACTTCATGGTGTTACTATTGTGTTACAGTGATGCGCGCGCATCTTAAAATTTCACTCTCATCATTTTTTCATAACGCGCCCGCGGCTAACTTCATTATGTTACTTTTGTGTTACAGTGATGCGCGCGCATCTTAAAATTTCACTCTCATATTTTTTTCATAACGCGGCTAAAGAAGTATAACTTCAATAAATAAATATTTTCCACTGTCACACCAATTAGCCTAGCCCCAAAGTAAGCACTGTAAGGCTTGTGTTATGGGATGTTAGGGTAACGTATAGAATACATATATACTGATACATATATAAGTATATTTTATCTAGAAATATAATACATACAGTCATGACTAAAGTACAAATATTATTGTCATCAACAATAATGTGCCTATTAAACGCTTATTTCATGTGTACTATGATAAATTGATTCCCAATTCCAGCACAGGTGTGAGTTGTACTGTGCACGCGTATTAAATTGACATATTAATTTTCCTGCTCAAAATTGTATTAATTAATTTTAAATGAAACATTTTCTCACTCGCGTACGCAATGTTCCATTTCCCAATGCCAATTTACAACTTTATATATTAATGTTTATTGACTTTCCAAAACATCAAATGCTTATCCGACTTCCGCGCTTTATTCCCTACTATATACATTCCCGTTTTCCGAGCTTTATGTTAACGCAGTAAAAGTCATTTTGGCGTGGCCGCGTTTTGTTTACCCTATTATTTACACAGTCTAGTTTACTACTGAAGATACAAAATGTGTTATCTTATAATAAGGTGCAAAATATACAGGTATAGAGATGCGTGGGGTGCACTAAAATATCCGGAATGAACATGAAAAAACAATTGACCTTATAAAACTAAACCAATAAGTACCTATTAATGACGTATAATATACAGAGTGTTACAAAAATACTACTTCTCATATTTTCTTAAAATATTTGCATGAAGTTTTAACTTTTTATAAAAACAGTTATTTTTAATGATTATCAAAAATATCGATCATTTTAAGACACGTCACTAGTTCGAGGATCATCAAAAATAACTGTTTTTATATAAAGTTAAAACTTCATGCAAATGTTTTAAGAAAATTGGAGAAGACTCTTTATATGATGTACTTAAACGCCCTTCAAGCTTTATTTGTAACACTCTGTATAGACAAATTATACGCCAACATTATTGCATTTTAAAATGGCACAAGTAGTTCCCGCCCCAACTTCCCTTGGCAACAGCCGCCAATAGAGTACACTAAGGTCGTCTCTTTCACTGTCATTCATAAAGCAGATTAAATCTCGCTCTTTAGCCTCTATGTGTCAACGGTGTCAGCAAATGTCAAATTAAGTAATCACTAAATATTTTTACATTAATTTCTTTGAAACTGTACATACGAATGAAATGACACGTTTTTCTTGTCTAAATAGTTCTCGTGTATTTTGTGTACTACCTAAAAAAACACATAGGGCTTTTTGTCTGGAAAACCGTAAAATATTTACACTTTGTATCAAAGTAAAAAAAAAAAAAAAGTGTAGCCGCGGCGAGAGAGCTTACCCGACTAAATGCAAGTGGAGCAATTACCTGCTTTCGTATTGCGAAATTAGAAGTGTGTATGTCGTATCTATAAATTTAAATCATAATAGGTACCTATAAGAAAAAAAAATCGTTTCTCAAATCTAATATATAAAATTCTCGTGTCACGGTGTGTGTAATTGAACTACTCCGTAACGGCTCGACAGATTTTCGTGAAATTTTATATGCATATTCAGTAGGTCCGAGAAACGGACAACATCTATTTTTCTATATATATACATATATATATGAGTACTGTCAAAGTAAAATCTACAAAATTTGATTTTCGTTGATCATAGCAGGACAACCATCAAGTAATACTACTTAATTTTTCGCTTTTAAATTCTGCAAACCAGTCATAATACTAAACTTGCACGGTGCTTCATCAGCAAAAGCAGTTTGAAGGCGAACGACACTCCACTGAAGCGTGAAATTAAACTTAAAAGCGTCGTAAATCAAACTATGAAAATTTTCCCGAGTATAAAATTAATTTAAACGGGGCCAAAATGTAAATATTTTAATACAAGTTCCAAAATAGATGACCCAAACTGCAGTTCCATTTTTAAACATCGCATTTGATTATAATTAATAAATATGAATACATAATTTTATAAATGGCCAGTTCCGTAAATTTTAGTGCGCACTGTGTAGATACGCAGTGAAGTGACACTGTATTTAATTAGAGCCCTTTCTAGATCACTCGAGGTGTTGATAAGAGAGCAGGGTTACCAACATCACATGTGTCGCTTTGGTATAATATAATTAACAGTTATTAACGGTCAAGGGCGTCGCCAGCTTATGACTAAGGGGGGGGGGGGGGGGGGGACTAACGACGGGGTAAAGTAAACGAAACTCTATTTAGTCTGTCAGTAAGATTATCAAAAAATAATGGACACGTATTTTTTTTGCTTTGGTCCATCAACCATAAAATGACAGGACTAAAGCGCGTCAAAGTTTGGAAGTATCGGATCGTGACGTCACTTTTAAGTAAAAAAAAGACCAAAACCTGACGTCATGCGACATTTCAAATCAATATATCTCTGTAATATTTTGATTATGTGAAAAAAGAAAAATACGTGTCATATACGTTTTGATAATCTACCTGATTGAAGAAGAAAAAAATGTTAGTCGTCATCCCTATTCAAGCGGGAAATACGCTATGCCCTAACTCACTTAATTTCTATATTAGGCAGCGCTGTTGCTTTTAATTTCAAAGGTTTTGGGTTCATCATCTACTTGTATGATGAGCGCAAATATATTTTGTTCCGTAGTCAGGTTGTTTGTTAGGGACGCTATATGCGTTATTCAGTTTCCTAAAGTGCTGGAACCTGATAAGTTTGAAACTATCTATCCGTAAGATGTAAAAAAAAAAATATATTACCTATTTTCGTGTTGTTATTTCGACTGAACTCACGCAGCCCTGTGTATCAGTGTTCAAATGAGTTTATACCATTATCTGTATGGAATGCGAGGCGTTGATATACCTCCCACTCTGGTCTGGACCCACATTCCGAGATAACACTAGATGCAGGCCAAACAGGTGCCATAAACTATGGAATCAAATACGAAAGGCCGAGGGTACGCCCGCCGACTAAGCGTATTTACTCAGGGCCTGTTAACATTAAAGCTTAATTTATATAAGACTAGAAAATGGAACAAGCTTTATAGATGTCGGTAACAAAATTCCTTATAGAGGCCTCTTGGAGCGAAGTTAAATATCAGGAGTGCGACGTAAAGCGACGCAAATGTAATTCCAAAGTTGGATATTATTTTGTAGAATTTGTGCTATGGCTTTTGGATCATGTTAGGAGTTCGCGGCTCGGCCCCTGAATATTTAAATTCCCTAAATCAACAACATGCATTCCATGGTTCGATCCAAATACACAGGAAGATTATGTATACAATATTAACTTCAAGTAAGGGTAGCGATCTATTAAAAAACTCTTCAGTGATTTTTTAAGTAGTAAAGTACCTTCAAAGTCAAAGTAATATTTGGAGTTGGTGCCATGCACAATGCATGTCTGATAAACCTAAATTTCCATCTACTTCTTATGTTGGCATGGCACCGACAAAAATACTCATTTGACTTTAAAGGTACTTTAGACTTAAATAAAGAAAACACACACTGTTTTATTTAATGAGTGAAAAAGTCGGTTTTCGTCGTATTTGACTGTGTTAAAATCTATGATGCTTTCAATTTATAGATACGTCATATACGCTTATAGTTTGGCAATACAAAAGTCAGGTAATTGCCCGACTTGCATTCAGTCGGGCACGCTCTCTCGCCGCGGCTACACTTTGCTACAAATAAATATTTAACATTTTTCGCCTTTAGAAATATCATTTTAAATTGACGTTCACATAACAGTATCGGATATCATCAGAATGCCATTATCAGCAGAAAAAACTTTACTGAATCTAAGTCACGTTTAATAATAAGTATTCAAAAAATATACCAACCTAAAATATATGTTAACTGTTTTATTATTGTAGTACAATATTAGTATCCATGTATTGTTCATGAGATCCATAAAAGTAGATAAGTTTACCGATATTGACTAGTCCGACATCTTTAAATAAGAGGCATGAAGAAGCGCTGCATTGCTAGGTTTGTCATTTTTTTGATGAACGATGTTAAAGTTTACCAAGGTACTAAATCAGTCACTGCAGTAGCACGTCTCTATAGCAGCGCTAATGCAATTAACGCCTTTAATTTGAAGGCACTTTATTAACCCTCCGTTTTGTTTATTTTACAAACAGAGCACCTAATCGAGCTGTCACGGCAGTCCCAGAACAAGACGGCCGGCTTGTTCCTGCAGCTGTACCGGAGTCACGCGATTCGAGTGCATACGCCTTTAGCCAACCTATACGACGACATTCGAACGCTGCTTAGATCCGAGTCGAACTCGGAAGAACTCGGCTCTCGGGCACCGAAAGACCTCGCCGACAGCTCCAGAAAGTTCTTTCGGGAAGTGTTCCCGGTGGCCTACCAGAGTGTTCTAAAGTTGGAAGCCAAACGATTCACGCCCGAATATGAAGAGTGCTTGAAGGCGGCCTACGATGCGGTGCTACCGTTCGGAGACGTTCCTGAGCAGGTAATTTTGTACGAAGTTGTTTTATCATTGGTAACTGTTGGTTAAGTTTATATCATTTTGTAGCTTTTATTGCGGCCGAGTTACGGAACATTGCTTATCTTAAAACAGTAAAATGCTAATGATTATTAGGTACGCAGGCCTTGCCCGAATTTTATCATTGGCTTATTCATTAAGACAGATTACAAAACGCGTTTAGTGTGCTTAAAGTATTCTTGTCATTTGACTTCGATATTTGAATAATGGGAATATATTATAATTGAAATTAACTTTTTACCGACTTAGTACCCTCAGTTTATGTAATATTAGTGTCTAGCTACATTCACAAAAACATAATTTTATTTCATTTTCATGTTAAATAATATAATATGTTTCCAATGCCAGTTTATTTTAACCCGAGTATGATTGGATGTACAATCAAATTCTTAGACGTCACTTTATCATATTGAAGTTCGCCCAGAACTGTAGATGGAATAAGCACAATAGGCCTTGATCACGCGTGCCAGTTGCATTTTGGTAATATGTATCCTAAATATTTATTATGATTTCGTTTCGCACAGATGGGTTCTTCACTATCCCGGTCGCTGGAAGCAGCGCGCGTCCTACTACAAGTGTTGGCAGCCGGGGCGAGCGCATTGGGAGCGAGCGAGCGCGTGCTCTCCACTACAGACGAGGAGTGCTACAACAAGGTGTTAAGGGTGCAAGGCTGCGCTTACTGCCGCGGCTACGATGTCAGACCCTGCAAGAATTACTGCCTCAACGTCGCCAGAGGGTAAGAATAAGATGGGTTCATCGTCATCCCGGTCGCTGGACGCAGAGCGCTTCTTGCTATAAGTGCTGGCAACCGGCGCGAGCACACTAGGAGCGAGCGAGCGCGTGCTCTCCCCCGCAGACGAGGAGTGCTACAATATGGTGTTAAGGGTGCGAGGTTGCGCTTACAGCCGCGACTCCGACGTCAGATCCTGGAAGAACTACTCCCTCAACGTCGCCCGATGGTAAGTAATAAATGGGTTCTTCGTTATTCCGGACGTTGGAAGCGGAGCGCGTCTTCCTGCAAGTGCTGGCAGCCGAGGCCAGCGCATTTTGAGTGAGCATGTGCGTGCTCTCCACCGCAGACGAAGAATGTTACATGTGGCGCAGCTGCGATTGCTGCCGCGGCTACGACGTCAGAACCTGCAAGAACTCCTGCCTCAACATCGTTAGAGGGCAAGTATCATTATCTGCCTATTAATATTCCCACTGCAGTGATACAGGCCTTCCCTATGGATGGAATAGGGAGATTGGGCCATGACCCACCATGTCGGCTCTTTGTGGATGCTAAAAACTGCAGATGCAGCCAGGACCAATAACGTATCTTCCGAAAAACAGAAAAGCTCGAGAGAGGTATCACTTTTGTATAGATTTAGTTTGCATTATTTTTTCTTTTTCAAGCATTCGAACTTTTAATGCTGACTCAGCGAGACGCTCCAATAGGCTAGTTGACCCTTTTTGGAAAAAGGGTTTAAATGGTTAATAAATGTTCTATTAGACCGAAAAAAAATGTATTGTAGTTTTTTGAAACCTACAAACGCAATACCTGGTTAGAACTTGCTAAAAATGATCCTGCAACTTTATCGACTCATAGTAAAATTTATTTTTGCGAAAATTACTTTGATGTAAGTACTCATTGAATAATATTATTTAAATAAATTGAAATACAAATGGGATATTTTTAAATGAAACTTCGCAAACACAGAAAATTGAAATTAATTCCTTATTGGGCGGTTAAAGCCTTTCATTTTCCCTAGGATTTCATTTTCCATAGGATTCCCTAGACGACAAATTGAATAGCTTCGACATTAATAAAATTCAATTAAAAAGGCGTAATAAGTTTCTTCGGTGTTTCGTTAAGGCTGTCGGCTATTTTGGTAGTAAATGTAATCAACAATCACTTTATAGTTATAAACACAACAAACTCGGTAGCCAGTGTGCTAATTAAGTTTCTTGCTTGGAGTGAAAACTTGGGCTGTTCCAGCAACCGCCACCCGAAGTCAGTCGTTGCGAATAAATACGTCCATGACTTTAACGAACTAAGAATAGCTTGACAATGTTTTAATAAACCAGCCGTGCTATTCTGTTAGAACAAACTCACTTTCTACCGCGGAATTCACCGGTGTGATTTGAAATTTATTTGGAATTCGTGTTAGAATTTTAAATTACATCGCGGATTCAGTGTTGAACAGTGAGTTTGTTCTTACAAAATAACATGGCTGAACGGGGATTATTTTGATTTATTAGCCGTTCGTCCAATAAGCAGTTCGTCCAAACAGCATTTGGCCATTCGTCTCTACGCAGTTCCTCCATAATATGATTCGTCCATTTCGAGATTCGTCACTACGTATTTCCTCCATTTCGAGATTGGTCACTATGCATTTCATCCAATGCGAGATTCATCACTACGCATTTCGTCCTTTTCGAGATGCGTCATAACGCAGTTTGTCTAAAGGGACTAATTTGGAAACGGAAGATCTGAATACTCATCTACGCCAACGACGGATATATCCGTTTAAGTGTACGGAACAATAACCACCTACGTGCATTTCTATAAGGTTTAATTATATAATTAACGTCATGAAGATGTGGAGTATCAGTTACAGCTTATCATTTTACGTTTGAAAAAGGGTAAGCCTACCATGGAATGAAACTAAAAATTGGCATTAGTCACTTAAGACTGAATTATTTAGGATAAGATTTGTTTTTGCTTTAACCTACAGGCTGCTTATCTACTACAAACGATTAAGCTTATTCTAAGCGAGAGAAATATAATGCGTTATGACTTATTATGCAATTTTTAGTTTAAAATTAAGAAAAAAGAGTCGGAAATAATGTTCCGGTCTTTTTACAATAGATATATCAATACATTGTCACCGGAAAACGGTTAAGTATAGCATTTTTGCTACAGGAGTTCATTCTTTTTTGGGCACAACTTTTTTTAGGTACCTACTACCGCTACGAAATTTCAGTGGATTCAAAAATATAGACTCTTATAATTACAATTAAAGGTCGTTAGCAAAAACTTTGCCTGATATTGATTTTTTTCCAATAATATCGTATGGTTCCTGGGCTATAATATTTATGTAAAAAGTTCTGTATCATATTTATGTAAAAAGTTTAAACGAATTTATTTATTATAATATGAGCTGATGCCCGCAACTTCACTTGGCTGTTTTCTTTTGTATCATATTCCATATTATAAAATATAACAATATTAGTATGTATAGTTAGTTCTATTTGTGTTAAGTGGAAAAATGAATAACGCAACTCGGTCTCTCATTTTAAAAGAAACTGTTATATGTTAAAAAGTAATAAAATCACTTTAATTACATTCTAATTCATGGAAGAAAAGAACTGCAGTGCTATTCTGCGGATCTGCGCGGATTTTTATCGGAACCGAAAAAAAAATACAGAATAGCACTACTGTTAGTAACTGTAAAAAGTAGAAGTAGTAAGTTCCAGCACATTTTTAAATCAATATCAGATACGTGTTGACGTAATGCCTACCTATTGGACAAAAAGCCTGTTTGGCAAAATGCTAGTTGGACAAAATATATCTTGCACGAAATGCGAGTTGGGCAAAATATATCTTGGACAAAATTCATCCTGGACGAAATATACGTTAGACGAAATGCGGATCCAAAAACCAATTGGACGAACTGCGTATTGGTCGAACGGCGAATAAATCATAATACTGAACATAAGAATACTTTACCAGTAGACCTACAATACATTTTTATATAAATAGGTAGGCAGTTTGCGTTCTGCTTGTTTGTTAAATTAATTATAACGTTTGTGGAAGCTGCATTTTAAAGCATTTCTTGGTTTCAAAGGTGCCAAATTAGGCATTGATTGAGTCTTACAGTAAGATGTTGTATAACTGTGGTTCGGAAGTAAAAGTAAAAAAAACTGATATCGCCTACAACACTATAAACTAAGCGCAAAAGCGGTATCTCAAAAAATCCCAAAAAAAAATATTTTTATGGCATCGGATACCGTAGAAAAATACGCATCTATTGAACTAAGCCTTCAAGCGGTATGCTATTTAAAGGTGTAAAAAAACGTTAAGAATGTTTTCTCTATCTCACTTTTACCTTAAATTACTAAGGATATTCGAAATATCAACACAACGTAGGAAACCAGCCGTATATTTAAATACCGCCAAATATACCTAATATTATATATAAATTACATTTAATAACCAAAAATAACTATCTAGAAATTAACGATAAAACGAATTTTACATAACGTCAATTATCTCGAAACTGGCTTTCAGTGAGATACTTACCGATTTTGTGCTTAGTAGGTCAGATATCTATATTTTGAGAACTTCGACGAGTCCTATCTTATGCCAAATATGAACGAATACAGAATCGTTGTTCGATTCAAGTGAATGCGGTTTCGTATTTGATTTTTGTTTTGTTTCGGTTGTGAATTTCTTTTAACGAATTTCGAAAATCCACTCCATTTTTATATTACAGAACAATGAACATAAGACCTACTTAGCCATTGCGTGGCAGCAGCAAATTGAAACATGATTTTTATACCCAGGTGCATAGGGTCGCTAGTCGCCGAGCTGGATGCATCTTGGGCCAGCTACACGGAGGGTCTGGAGCGGCTGACGAGGCCAGACGCCGACGTAGCGCTGCGGGACCTGGAGACCCAGGTCTCTAAGGCTATCATGTACGCGCTAGAGAATCACGCCATCTTAGAGAGTAAGGTATGAAAACACATAATGGTTTATAGAAACACACGGCGACTAGCGATCCTATGCTCCTAGGTATAGACCTAGGAGCATAGGATCGCTAGTCGCCGTGTTAGACGCATCCTGGGCTGGCCAGTATACTCAGGTCTCTAAGGCTATCATGTACGCGCTTGAAAATCTAGCATCAATCAATCAATCACATTTTAGACAGTAAGATGCCTATGTAAAAACATCGACTCCGTGTATTGTGAAATAGGTATGTTTACTTCAAAATAGGAGCAGTTATGCGCTCAATTTTATTGTAGTCATCTTGATGCTCGCTATTTTCGTAATTGCTTACCGATACGAAAAGAATCTATTTGGGTTATTCAATTGATAAGGATTTTACTTGTATCAAGGTTAGATCGGTACGGTACTTACGGTAGTTTTTAGACTCCGTATCCAAAGGATGGCAATTTAACAATGTATAAATATAAAGTACCTACTTACGAGACCATATTACTAGATGGTCATTAATCGTAAAAACACATTTTGGGGCTCTTCTGGACGTATTCACAAAATTAACCACTTACTTCATAAAATGTAAAATATATTATACCGAGACATCTCATCTCATTGGTCACGTAATAAACTCCTCACGATTCGTTCGTACCTATAAGCAACCCAATAAACCTCCCGCATCAATATATTTTACGGAGCGATAGTAAATAATAGCTGGATAAATCTAATCACAGGCTGCATGCAGTTGCGACCAGAGAGGAGCAATTTGCCGGAGCACTTCCGCTTCCATCACGAATAAGTTTAGAATGTTCAATTTGTTCGTACCCCTAGAATGAGATAATTCACTTCTGTATAAAATATGGTTCTGAATTCACAATTACTTTGTAATTTCATACGATTTACCGCTGCACTAACAAGAGTTGCATTTAGCACGCCAGTTTAACATGAAATTGCTATTACGATACCGGTCGTGATGGTATTGGGAGCGTTTCTGCAAAATTAAAGTTCATACACGTAAATAGTGTTTTATTCAACGGCCGGTTGGTATTGTGGAATAAAAGTTTCTGCTGTTGGCAGCGCGCCACACGTGCCCTCCCAGCCTCACCGAGAGATTTCAATTATTCCCCGTTACCGCCTGCCTGATGGTCTGCTTTGCATGCGGCCGTTTCCTCGTAGTAAAACGCGAGGCAGGCGGAGAATTCAATCACTATTACGAAGGCGATAGTCGGTTCAATAATCGTAAAGTTTGGAATCCCTTCCTAGATTGTGTCTGCATCGTGCAGCGAGTATAAAGCACGGGCGTAGGCTGAGGTCATATGTGGGTGACGAGCGCGCCGACCCGCGCCCACGCGAATGCAACGCGAAACTAAAACGTTTTCCAATGACCACTCAGACCCCCCTTTATGAGATAAGTTGGTAATCTGTAATTACCTGGTAAATGCTTTAGAAAATCCAATCCCCACCAGCTCTTATGGATGATTTTAACCCGTTTTCCCTGTGTAATTCTGTTGATTGGTAAGAGTCAACTGACTGACAACAAAAATGGGTCTGATGCCCCGTAGCCGGAACATTAAAAAGGAAGAAGTGTGTTGATGATGATTAAATGTAGAGTAAATCATCAGAAATGTTCAGTTTGTTAAAATATATTGACCGAACTTACTCATGATGAATAATAAAATTAATACAAAAATAAAACTTCAGATGCTGAGATTTTTGTTATTGCCAATGTATAACATGATATAAGTAAAGTAAAAGTTGTAAGGCGAAATAAAATCCGGTATGATTTGAGGCACAGGCGTAAATTCTACTTTTCGAAGAATACGCCTTAATCGAGCGTTATAAATCAATCTAAGGATATGTCGAATTTTTATAAATACGAGTACACAAGACCGAGCATCTCCAGAATTTTCTTTCTTTCTATCTTCAACAGAAACCTTTAAGAACATTGTACCTTGCGAGATCATTATTATTTCATTACCATTAAGGTACGGTAAAAAATACATCGCTGATTATATAATTTGTCATTACCGTCGCCTTTATCACGTGTTGTTAATTCAATTAAATATATAAGTCTTAACTTTTATTATCTTGTATAAATAACTAAATTCGAAATAAAAATGATTTTATCAATTTCTACGTCTCCAATTCATTTTTGCTTTTTAGAAAAGAAAGGTCCAGTAGGTTCTTACAATTGAAAGCTTTATTAAAACATTGCATTGTGTCTGACTCATTAAGTAAACCTACAAGTAGGGCATTCGCTAAGAAATTATATCTTAAAATACCAGCGGGAAATGGAATTTCCCCCGGGTAACCCAGTTTATTGGAAGCTAGTAACATAATAAACAAACGATACGTTTCACACAATTATTTAATAGATACAATAGGTCTTGCTTTATACGTAATTTAAATAATATCTATTGAACTTATTAAAACAATATTTTTTAATAAAAACTAAATATAGAAATCGGTAATACGACGTAATTAGGCCGCCTTTACCCACATTGTTATTATTCATTGTTTTATGGTACTTTTTATCTCCAAGCTGAACGACTATGGAATTCTCTTCCAGTATCCATTAGACGAGCACAAACTATTCGTGTATTTAAAAGTCTAGTTGTAATCCACGTGTATGTAGCTGCTTTTTTATCTCTGCTGACTGGGCTTAACTTATATATGTGTAGTCTATATATGTATCTATAAAATGTGATATTTTGATATTATATGTATAGTATATATATCTGTATGTTTAAGTATGCGTGTGGTATGTATATATATACAATTCATATTGTTTTTATATCCCTTGTTTCTTCTACTGACATTGCCGACTCCAACTTTCTTTCAATGCTCTCCGTCCAAAGGTTGTCTGGAATAAACCGCTTTCAACGACAAGACTGCCCATTGAAGCACTTTTTTTACACGTATCATTTACCCCCATTTCTGTAGTATGCTGTGGTGTTTTCAATAAAGTATAGTGTATTCTATTGTGTATTATTTTATTTTTGAGAAGAATGAACAATAAAGAATGTATATATATATATATGTATAGTGCTTCTAATCTATACTAGTCTATACTAATATTATAAAGAAAAAATGTTTGTGACGTTGTAGGGGAAAATCTCTGAATTTACTGAACCGAGTTTGAAAATACTTTTACCAATAGAATGCCACGGTATTTGTGAGTGTCATATATTAACTTAAAAATGAAAAGACTTTAACGCACACGAAGTCGCGGGCGGCCGCTCGTAAAACAATAAAAAGATAGCTACATGAAATGCACGATGAAACGCATGTTCACAGAATTTTTCGACATAAGTACGAATTCTGAATAACAAATGTTGACAGTGACAAACATCATAAGCAACATATAGAGTGTTGTTGTCTGTTATCTTTATGCTGAGAGGCAATTTTGTGTATGAAACAATGTTCCGTACGTCCGCTACAACATCTTGCGATGGCGGTTTTATTGCTGTTGCTCTGCGGTCTCGAGCTCCCATCTAAATGATTCAATCTTCAAATAACAAAATTATTCAGTACTTATGACCTTTATAGTAAAGATCGGTGCAGCAGTACCGTCCCCTTTTCTAATAATGCAATAGTGTATTTGTTTATTCTTTGAGTAATTATCCAATACACGGCTCACTTAAGAATATACAAATCAATCATTGAGTACTTTAGTTGAGGACTTAAGATTTGGTAAAACCAAAAAAACTGCAGGAAAGTAAATAATAATAAAAAAAAAAGGCTAATAAGTCTTGTCTCGAGTAGCGAAACAGTAGAATGAATTGTTATTTTCACTCAAAAGTATCAACGCTTTTGCCCCCCCCCCCCCCCCCCCCCCCTCCTAATATAACAAAATTAAAAGAAATCAAAAGCTTACCAGCATCAATTTATGGAAGATTTACACTGTCAAGATCTACGTTAAGAAATCCATTGTCTTGAAATAAATTACACAGAAGAGAAAAGGAGGAGTGAGGCAGTCACTTAAGCGCTTGAAGACAGCACTGATACGATCTGTTGAGTCACCGGAATTAATGTTGCAAAGTGATAAATAGACCATTATTAATAAAGGGATGTTGCGCTTCCGCACATGCTACTCTTGTAGGCTAAAACCGGAAAGTTTCAAAATATCTCATGAAATTAAAAATGTGGCTTGCTATTATTTTTCGTTCGTTCGCTCGTTCACCGTAACATTCTATGACATTTAATTCTACTTCAAGGAAACATTATTTTGAAAATTCCACGTTGTTGTATGGAATTTTATTTATTTTGTCTAATTTTTATTCGTTATAGTAATATAAGCAATTAGACGGATAGATAGCGAAGGCATACTAACTCGTCGTCACCTTTAGGATTCGGGAATGTGTTGATTTATCATGACTTTTTTTACAAAATAAAATTCGGGATTTATTATAGTTCCTTGTGAGACTCCAAATAACCAATCTTTAAGTAGTTGTATTATAACATTATTTAAACCTGCACTGTATAGTGTAACTAATTTAAGATTCAAATGTACTTACTTAACTGTTTCGAAGAGTAAGTCCATCCATATACATGTATAGCAATAGGGCGGGGTCGCTTTACGTAAAACGTATGCACTTAGACCTTTCCATTAGTCCAAGATTTCCACACAGTGCCATTGTTCCCGGGCATTATTAAACAGACGCTGGGGACATTTTATTTGTGTTCGAGTTTCACCTATTAAGTATTCCGTGGTTTCAATAAATGTAAATTGTGTATTTATAAATGTTACACATGCAGACAATAGAATTTCCTGTTCTGTCATTGTATGAAACTAAAATGTGTGTGAAGCGGAAAATATATATGCAACATAATTCCGAATGGGAAAGAAATATAATTAATTAAAGCGATTAAGTAATTTTGAATAGACTATTAAGAAGACATTATTTGTATTAGGTGTCAGTTTCGCCAAAGACCAAAAAAATGTTATGGCCAATTCCTGGTGTGCGCAAGCTTAACTAAGCTTAAATATAAATTCAAGGATAATACTACTGTAG